TTGGCAGCTTCGGCCTCATCCTTGGCAGCTTCGGCCTCATCCTTGGCCTTTATGGATTCATGGTAGGCAGCTGCAGCATTTTGCCCGGCTTTCTGGAGTTGAACCTGCAACCACTGCAACACGCCTTGTTGATGTGTGAGCTGCTGTTGCATCGCGGCTGCCTGCCTTTCAAGCTGCTGGAACTCTTGTTGGGTAGGTCCAGGAGCTGCCCGCCCACCCTCCGTTCCATGGGCTGCGATCATCTGGAGTGCCATGTTCTTGGCATCCTCCAGCTGTCTGGGGGGTCCGCTGAGAGATAGGCACCTCTCCCCCCATTGCGCTCGCCAGCGAACGCTTGCGCTCACCTGGAACTGCTGCCAAATCGTATCTCTGTCTGCGGCTGTGAGCGTTCCGGAGCCATTGGGTGACCTCAATGGCCCCATATGGGCTTCTCCCGCGCGCGCTTCTCCCCCACGCGCCGCCGTTGCCGGGAAGACCTCGCGAGCGAGCGCGTGAAAGATCTCGCGAGCGAGCGCATGGGCGAGCCACATGCGCGCGGGCGAGCCACGCGCGCAGGGATGAGCAAAAAGGCGAGCCGGTGAGCACGGTTGCATTTGAACCTGGTTCATCGTGCAGAACTTACAGGGAACTTATATGTATATGGAAAGTACTTGTCCACACTTGGTTGAGGTTACACAAGTATGGTTCTGACATCATCATCTAGACACATGTAACTTGTAAACCGTTGAAAACTTATGACTTACCTTCTTGTTAGAAAGGTGTTTTATAAATTCAGATGATGAACTTAAAACTTCCCTTAGCTTATTTATAAGTGTAGGTCCTAAGTCTATAAGCGGAACACCCGTTATAGTGATCTCACGCACGTCACCAATGGTCGGACTCGAAGCGGCGGACGCACATCTTGAGAACTTGTAACACAAGTGAACCTGCGTTCGACTGCAACCAATTAGCTGGCCTAAAACAGAGCGATACGCTGTATGCATTTGAGGATTACAAGCAACGTTATCCTTTAGATGTTTCTCAAACTTGATTTCCTCTACAGCATCTACTGCAAGCTTTTGGTCACAAGAGATGTATGGTCCTTGCTTATCATGAGTCTTCCACTTGATACGTTGACCAACAAACATGATGTCATTCTTGTCTTCCGAGCCTACGTTAAAGTCCTTACGAATGCTGGCAAGCACTTTGTCTGCAAAGACCTTGTCTCCGGCCATGAACAAGTCATCGACATGAAGACAAATGAAACCATGTGGTCTCCGGCCTTGTGCATTATTCTGTGCTACAGGATCTAGCGACATGTCGATGGCTTCTTGGACAGGATCATTGGACGTAGACGTTTTCCGGAATGACTTAGACAACGAAGTGCCCTTAGGATCTAAAGTTGCCCCTTGCGCAACTTCGGCTACAGGCGACAGCTTTCTAGCCGGAAGCTGCCGTGTGTAGCCGGCAGCCCCGGTTTTAGCCGGCAGCCCCGGTTTTTATATATGCAGCCGACAGCTCTATAGCCGGCAGCCCCGGTTTTTGTTATTGGGATGCCCCGTGTGCTGCAGTCCATGTACGGTGAGTGCATGGGCGCTCCACTATGAGCCGATACGATCTTCTGCGCGCTTTATACTACAGCGTGTGCCGCGCAGTCATGTAGAAGCCGGGGCCTTCTACAGCTGCGCAAAAACCGGAACTTTCCAAAAGAAAATATAAAACCTTTGGGGGAGCTAGCGTCGTGACATGTGTGTTTTGTCATATGTTCGCATCGACTGGCGGCGGTAGCGTTGTCAACCAATTTTTTTTGACGCATTTGCGTTTTATATACCTTGTTGGTGCAAGAACTAAAGAAAGATGTGAAAGGTGTGTGTTCTGACCGCTGCTCCGCCCGCACGCCTTTGTGGCCACACATAGAGGAAGAACATGTCCACGCGTGTAAGATTATGTCATCTATGTATGTACACGTGTGGGTTGACAAAAACAGCACAGGAAAAATAATCTCGACCATATCTCGACCATGTGAGGTGAACATGTAACATGAGACAACTGTAGGGTATTCTGTTTCTTTTCATGTCTCCGTCGGCACGCCGGGCGATGGGAAGCCCTTTTTCCATGACCAGGACAGTCATTGGGCGGCGTCCCGCGTCTGTTGCCAGCGTTGCCCGAGTAAGAGCAGTAGCCTCTGGAAAACACGAAGCAACACTGTATTGGAATTGCATTTGGTAGCAATTCTCTTTATAGCTCCGAGGTATGCCTCGTCATGAAAGCATTGCGTGAAACGCGGGTTCAGACGGTGCCGAAACACTGCTAGAGCAGTTTCCTCCAAAGCATGGTGCTTTGGGCGCAGCCTCCAACGTTGAAGGTTCAGACTAGCACACTCTTCTCGGATCCCTTGCCAGTGGAGCAAATGCGCAGTGATAAGTTCATAAAAGTTCGATGCTTCTGAAGTGGTCATGATCAGGTCAGACTGTTCCATCACATGTATCGCGGACACCAAAGACCACGCACAGCAAGCCCCAGCTTCCAGCACTCGAGCCTAAGAGTTCCATTGGTTTTGATTGTTCTTTCATTGTTCAGAAAAAGGTTTTGCTTTCCTCAAAAAAACAAAACATTAAAATGCAGAAAGAAAACTCCAGTAGCCTTTGCGAACTCCACTGCTTTTTCAGCTATGAACCATAGGACCAGCTTGACATTGGCAGCCTTCCAAGCACTGCCAAGCTCCGGAAAGCCTTCAGTAAGACCGCAGTTCGACTCAGTGAACACCAACTTGCGCACTCCAAGCCTCAGTGCCCCCACTACTCCACTCCTAGCCCCAAACATGAAAAAACACAGCGGTATATAGAAAGGACCTATATGAGCCCCTGACTTTTTCTCTTTGAACGAGCGGTGCATCAAGATCGACAATTGGCGGAGGCGTTTAGCAACAGGGATGTCGGACGGCCCAAGTACTCCGCAATCGAGCATATCAGCGATGAGACTGCCAATAAGGTCTCGAGCGGTGCCAAGATAGATCACATGCATAAAATCGTGCATGGCGGTGCCCAATGTCCAACCTGCTATGTGATGCCACGGTGAAAGCACCTTGCACGTGTTCCTGTAGGTAGTGTCATCGATTCGTGTCAGGTGTCTTGGCGCGCACTCACGAAAATCATGATACCACATTGCTGGGTTGGATTTCTTTGTTGGTTTTTCGGCTAGGCACGCTTCGCAAATGCGCATGCAGTTGTAGTATCGATCGAAACAGTTGGTTTCAGCTCGCGCCTTGCCGTCAAATCTACAGCAAAAATAAGCACACCTGCAGCAGTCCCAATGCTGGTTGCACCCACCCTTGAACAATAGCCTCAACAAAAAGTCAACAAAGACACAGTGATAGGCCTCCATGGGTGGCTCACCTTTTGGCCCTTCCTCTGACCCCTCAAGGACTTAGGGTCAAAGTCTTCGCGCGCAAAGCCGTGACTGGGGTACACCCCTGATGCACCAGCTTCCATAGACCATGCGATTAGCTTTGCAACATGATGGAAAACCTCAAATTGAACCTCAGAAAAATTGGACCCCGACAAGCAATGTTTGATGTCTTGAGTTTCGAAAGACTGCTTAAAAGCCCGGTGTGCCTTTGCAAGCAAGTAACGGCCTTGTCCTTGATACTAGAAGCTGGCAAGATGACAAGGGGGAACTTTATGTCCATAACCTGGGACCAGCATTGGTCGGGAAGTTTCGGAGCAGAAACACATAGGCGAAAACATTCAGACAAACAGTATAGCTTCAAGTAGCATCACCAGCTGCCATAAGGCTACTCATTGACCACACGTAGTATTCAGAATTTCTATAAAATTCTGCTCCATCAATATGGAAGGTTATTGGGATTGTGCCTTAGACAAATGGTCACTAGTAGAGCTTGGACAAGTTTTCTTTCGATGCTTCTACGGCTGATAAACTAAGTAGTAGGCGCTCTTTCACCGCTGTGTCGTGAGAAAAAACTGGATGATGTTTCCATTCTTCAAACTGCAGGAAATGGCTCCATAGTTCACCAACTGCTTTTGTGCTCCGGCCGCCCAACATGGACTTCAGAAACTGCCAGGGGCGCCAAGCTCAAGCACGTTTTGTTTGGAAACACGAACCAATTCCCACTGTGACCCATACACATATAGTTGCACCTGCTCGGGCCCAGCGCGAGCAACCGCGTCTAAAATTTCGTGGGGTAGCAAAACAGGTACATTGACCACCTCCACGTCCTCTGAATCGATCACCTGGGCCGATGCAAACTGTAATAAGAAGTGATGTCTATTCAGCACTATGCTCATGGTTTTTTATTTTGATTGCAGAAGAACAATAAGCGCATGACCTGGAGTTTCATTTGAGTGGTGTAGATCTCGGTGGTCGCCGTATCATTAAAAAACAACCATCTGTGTAAATCCCGCTCTTCATTCTGTGGATGGGCACCGAAGGACCCAAGCGATGCAAATGCCTCGATCACGCCTGGCAACTCAGCCTGGAAATCTTTCCGCTGAGCTTGGGCTATCTTCGTAATGGTCCTGATGTTGGATTGGCCTGAGCCAATCATACCTGGCCGGGCCACTAGAATCACTAGAGCTTTTGAAAGGGTTCGGTATGCTCTAGACTCTAGACTTTGACCAAACCCTTTGTCAGAAACCAAGTGACTGATGAATAGATCAGCTTGATGACTTTTTGCAAAAGAAGCAAATGCTTGTCGAGGTTTCTTCCTTATGCACTGCGTAAATCAATCTTAAACCGGAGAGGTTTCCACACACACTTGTAGAGCATTAGTCATTCGTCATTTCCAAATATGTCAAAACCTGAAGTACACGCCTCGAATCCTTGAAGATCACATCAAAAGAAATCCGCATGCCTAGGTTGAGCCTTGCGTCGGACGGATGCCACAACCTCCATGGCCTGGCAGTGGGCGATAGCTCGGTTCCCGGTTTGAAATGAGTTCAAAAGCACGGTAGCAGGAGACGTTTTTTTTGGCTTGTTGAGCCATGGTCTGGCTGAAGTTCTTGAAACTTAACATCAAGGAGATGTATCCACCCAGAGAATCATTTTTGATTCGGTCCCAAGCCAACCTCTCTAACAGCAAAGGCCTGGTAAAACAGAAGGCTCTATATATGTATATATATATGTAGATTAAATAGTTCTTGTCTATCCTTTACGTGGTTGAATGGTCACGCAAGTCCCTTGCTGATGAGGCAGGCGAAATCAAAATGGTATGAAGTCTCACTTAGGCGCTGCGTTGCTAGGATCTTCAGCGGCAGCTTTGGCCTTCGCCTTAGCTTTGCTCTTGGCCTTCCTCTTCTTGGGTGCCAAGCCAGACAACAAAGCCTTGCCAGCAGCCTCTGGGTGAGAGTTCATTGATTCAATGCCCTAGCCAAAGCTTCAAAATGACAAAGAAGAGAAACTAGAAAAGCTTCAAAACGACAAAGAAGAGAATAGAACTAGAAAGCCTCTCATTCTAGAAGCAACTTTCCAAACCCCTCACCTCAGCTTTCTCAAACCACTCAAAGAGGACTTTGATATCATTCACCTTGTTCTCGAATTTGTCCTCGCTGGTCTTTGGGTTGGAAAGCAGTCCCTGACATGAGTCATAGATCTTCTCCATCTTCTCGGAGTGTGTCTTCATTTGGTTCATCAAGTCCCCAGAATAAGCCACGTGCTTCAAGGCCACAGACAGCGTCCGAGCAGATGCGCCCTGTTGGAGGACAGTTTGGGCCAGCTCAGCGCATGACCTGGGCGCAGTTGTCATTGAAGACTTGAAGGGGTCAGTTGTGAGCCAACTGGCAAACAAAACATAGAGCGATGGTAGCCCCAAAAGAAAAGGTGCATAAGGAGAAAATGATGTGTTTCAGAAACTTGGGGCCTGGCTCCCTCATGGTTTTGGGTTTCACTTCTTCTGCTTCTGTTTTCTCTTCCCTCTTTCTTTTGGCAGGCTTGGCCTTCTCACAACTCCCCTTCATGACTGACTCCCAAGCATTCTTGTCCCCCTCAGCGGTCGCAAGCCCAGAGGATGGAAGAGCTCCTGCCTGCAGGCAGCCTGAGTCGCCAGTGAGGGCCTCAACAAGCTCGGCGCCGGGATTCTTCTCATTAACTTTGATTGAAAGATTCTCGGCAACAAGGTTGTCGGAAGTGATTTGCTTTCCTCGTCCAGCAAGCCACCAAATCTCCTTGAGGGATGGAAGGAGAAGAGGGAATGTCAGGGAGATTTCAAACCAGTGATTGAACATTTGGGAAGAGAGTTGAGCAAGATGGATTTAATGTTAATTGTTGAAGGGGTCTCCTCTTCATCTTGCGGAAAGTCTTCATCCCATTCCCACAAACCCTTCTGCTTCAGGAGGGCCTTCAATTTGTCCACCTTCTCTTGTGACCCATACCTCTTCAAAAGATCTCTCTCTTTCACAGCCGTTCTGCCGCTCCGAGTCCGATTGGTCCTTTGGGCGCGGCGCTCGACCACCATGGCGACCCTGAGCAGAGTGAGGACTGGATGGGAGCAGGTGATTTGGACGACAGTTGCTACCCTTTAAGAAAGAAACAACAAGAAAAGAATACTTTAGCTTTTTCGAAGACGCTGCTCAAGCTTTTTCCCATTCGTTAGCCACAGGTTGAAAATATCGTTCTTGTCCTTTTGCACGTGGGAAGAAAGCTCGACTGGGCATTTCTTCTTGTTGGCAAGGTGTCTGCAGAACTCGTCCCACTCCTTCTTGTGCGTAGCGCCTCAATGGTATGGTTTGGGAATCAAACAAAAAGAACATTCAGAGTTAATAACCTTTTCGGCACCCTTTTTTTAAGTTCTTAGACACCCCTTCAGTTTCTCCCACAAAAACGTTTGCTTGAATCTCTTTGAGTGGCTATTTGCCACTGCCACGATTGCAGAACCAGGGTCATCAGGCGAAGCTTTAGCAGCTGCTGCGGCAATCTGCTCACCCTTCGCTTGAAGAGCGGTGCAAGTCGCCGGCGTTGCCGTGTCCTCTGAATCGCTGTCAGACTTGTCCTCACAAGAAGAGCTGTTGCTGCCATCGTCAGAGCTTTCGGAACTAGATTCATTGTCGTCTGACTTCTCTTCTGATCCGCTAGCTTCGTCCTCCACCTCTTCTTTCTCTTCATCGCTAGCTTGCTCGTTCTTCTCTTCTTCTTTTTCGATTTCTCCTTCTTCCTCCGGGTCCTCCTCCTGCAGCTCCTCTTCTTCTTGCTCCTCGGAGTCATCATTTTCAATATCCTCCATGTGCTCCTCCAGCAGCCTGGTGAGCTCATCGTAATCTGGAAGTTCACTTGCGACATCCTCGCTGTTTTCCTTTCCTTCTTCCTCTTCCCTTCTCCGTTCAGTAGGGACCTTCTTCTCTTCTTCCATCTTGTCTGCAACATCGTTCTTCTTCTTGTCCTTCTTGTCCTTCTTTTGCTTCTTCTTCACCTCCTCCTTCTCCACCTTTTCACTCTGTTCCTTCTTTTCTTTCTTTTTCTCTTCTTCTACACGGTTCTTCTCAACCTTCTCCGCCATCCTCTTGGCATCCTTCGCAACATTCTTGTCCTCTTTCTCGCGACCCTCGTTCTCCTTTGACTTCTTGACCTTGCCGCCGCTGCTCTCTCTCTTTTCCTCCTTCTCCATCTTTTGTTCCTTCTTTTCTTTCTTCTCGGTCATCTCTTTCTTCTCTTTCTTCTCCTTCTTTACCTTCTGGTCCTTCTCCTGTTGACTTGCAGAATTCTTGCCATCCTGCTTCCTCTCCTTCTTGCTGGCACTCTTCTCACGCTCAAGGTCTTTCCGCTTGTGTTCCTTCTTACCTGTAGACTTTTTGTCGTGCTTTGGTTCATTCTTTCCAGTTTCTGCTGGAATCCTCGTGGGCTTGCCATAGTCGAAGATCACCTTTTTCTCGGAAGCGGCTGCAGGGCTTTTGCCGTGCACCCGCAGAGCAGGTGGCCTAGAAGGCTGTGCTGGAGTCTTCTCAAGCTTCTTCACTTCCTGCTTTTTTTTGTTGCTTCTTGTTTGGCTGTTTGGCCGCCTTTCCCATACTTGGCGCAGCAGTATATAGACTTAAAGTCAACTACAGCCAGATGTCTGAGGCATGGGTGATTTCACTGATGTAAAAGGATGCAACTCTGGAGCTGTGGACACATGGTTTAAAAGTAATATATTTCAGACAGATTCCAAACCCCAAGTGCTTGGATACAGATCGCGGCTGTTTCTCGACAAATCGCGGCTTTTTCTCGACAAATCGCGGCTTTTTCTTGACCCCTAAACATAGATATCATTATCTGTTCCAACATTTTGTAAACGACGCGGGCCGCGCCTCGCTTCCCCAAGTTTTTAAGAACAATGCGCGGCATCCAGCGCCTGGCACATCCCATGGTGCAGTGGCCATAAACAGTTCTTGGGGGCTGTGCAAACAAGGGGGTCCAGCGACATGTAGCTTGGGAGCTCCACAGGGCAATGCCATGGGAAAAACACAGGGCAATGCCATGGGAAAAACATGCGCTTTTTGTCATTTCCTTCAAATGGGATGCCCCTGCACCGTCACAACACTTCCGCAACGTGGAAAATCACTACGAGCCACGTTGCAACCCCTTGGAATTAAGAATTACCAGTGGCAACTGGATGCTCTTTGAGCAACGCTCACTGTGTTAAGTATTGAAACACAGGCTCTAGGTTTGCGCCCCTCACCCAACGGTTGAACTCCCTTGTGAAGTTCTTAGCTTTGCCATCGTCTTCACCCGCGCTTTCCAAAGCAGCATCCCGCAGGAATCTGCGGGCATCGCGTGTGACCTTGCTCTGATTGGAGGTCCGCAGTCGCGCCAGAGCGCGCCCAAACCTGGGAGAGGAGGGGTTGAGATGGTTAAGACTCTCGCAACCTTTGTTTCATTGAAGGAATCCATAATGCACCAAAATTGGAGCCCTCTATTCTACAAACACGTCTGATATGATGTAAACCCCAGAACAAAGGTTTTTGAGTTTCTTGACATCTCTTTGTTGATGGAGGGGCACTTGCTATCAGGGCCCAAGAATGACCACCAAGCCAATGCATCGTGTACTCTTGACTACCTTTCAGGCATCGAGAACCCTTGATCCTCCACTTCCCGGATCGATCCAAATAGTGGACCACCAACTGCTTGCGTGGGCGCTTGGGCACCCGAAGAGGCTTGTAGTCCACAATGTCTTCGATTTCTTTGCGATCTTAGTGGGCACACTTCCGCTAACGCATTTAATTACATGTGTTGTCCATTTGGGGGTCCAACCAAACTAAGTCCGATTGATGAAAACTCTGCTGGAGCTTGGTTGGTATTTTTGAAGAAAGAAAAAGGAAATAGTTGATGACTAAAAGAATACAAAGCCGGTTGATGAACAAGGCACTTGAATACAACCAGGTACCCTTTTCAGAGTTGGCCGCGAAATCCGACATTCGAATGTGAGTGCGGTAGATCTTGATCAATTTCAATACGCATTGAATCAAAGGGTGATACTCCAGAAGGGAACCCCGTGGTTGCTCCAGGCAAAACCAAACGCCCTTTGCTGCAGCCAAGAGCAAAAGGATGGCACACCGACTCACCATGCAATTGCCAGCCTGAACGCTTGGAGCCGACAGGTTGCCCAAAGGAAAGCTTTTGCTCCGCCCAGTTGATCCTCTTGACCTTGAACGCGGGGCGACCAAGACGGTGAAGGTGGGTCCAGATGACCAACAGAGGTCAAGAGGGCCTCTCTTGAGACTTCCAGCCCATACTTGCGAACACCTACAAACTCTATTTTGTACATATCCATAATCAAAAATCTTTCAATGTTGCCACGGCGACATAAACACCCAAGTTGAACAAACTGGAGCTAAGGTCAGGAATGACCCCGGCTCAAGCCGCAGAACATGGTAGAGTGCATGGGTGAATCCTTCGGGCCCGTTCATATCATGGTAGATGTTGTCATAGGTGTAATCGAACGCTGCGCAGGCTCGTCCTTCCTGCCATGGTGGCCCCACCAACAAAAAAGCCTGCAGAAACTTCCCCGTTTTTTGGATGCACACATTTTCATCTTTACCCATCCTCCCGCTCTGCCATGGTCACGGCAGCCCGGCCCGAGAAAAGCTCACAATGCTCCAGTGTGGCATCCCAATCTAGAGCTGGCAATGAGAACACCAGCCCCGCAAGCATTCCAATCACCTGCATGTGATGCCAAATACTGGAGAAGGATTGATTGCTGGTCAACAGCTAAAGGTTGAGAGGGCGAATCTTGAGAAACGACTGTTTTCGTTGGGATTGTTTTGGATTTCCTCTAGTGGTTCATGTTGGGTGCGCACTAATAGGTTGGGGGCGGGGCAATGGGATGTCAATCTACCTGGCCTTGGGGGCCTGCAACTTCTTCAGGCCGCTCATGACCCAACTCCGGTGCCTCTCCTTCGCATCACGCGGTCGTGATCCTGAGGACAATTCACGCGGCGTGCCTTTGATGGAGCGCAGTGTCTGGCGCTTGGTCACGTCGGCCCGCTTTCCCATGGCAGAGAAAAGCAGTTAAGGACACCCGAAAACAGTATAGATGCCACTCTTCTCTAGAAGTGATTTTTGTCAAAGTTTGAGGTCAAAAGGTTTGCGAATTGAAGACCATGAGACTTGAAAGCCATGGCACATAGGCTTGAAATTCAATGCCATAGACTGAAAAACCTCTTCTGTGGATTCATTGGCGCGGCCTGCCTTGTTAATCACGATGAGGCCCTTGAAGACCTCACGCCTTGGAAGGACGGCATGCGGAACCGAAGGGAATCGTTAGGTTTGGAAGGTTTGGTCTTTGCCCGCCTCCCCAACTAGCTGTTCGCCCCACAGCTAGAACTCCCCATTGCTCACTGGGCTGAGCTAAAACAAATGGATTGTGGTCAATTGGAACATTTTTGCATGTCCATTGCTGCATCGCCAGTAGGTGTATGTTCTTCTAAAGGGTGAGACGGTGAGACATTGTCGATTGAAAGAGCTGAACACTCCAATACCCAATGAGCTGCAGGAAGCACCCCATGCATGCACAGTGACAACTGACAAGAAGCAAGTGTGCGGTGCATGTTCGGAACACTAAAGTGTTTGCAGTGTTGCACATCCTTTTCACGAAACTCCGATGCTGACGTTCTCTAAGACCGTAAAAGACAATACTGTTGCACATCCTTTTCATGAAGCTCCGACGATGACGTTCTCTAAGACCCTAAAAGAAAACCAATGCCCAGACACTTTAAGCCCAAGGCTTGCTACACCCAGACTACAGTAAAACAATGTATATGTATATATATATATATTAAAAATATACATAATATAAATATATATATATAGAGTCGTACATATAAAGGCTTGAGAAAAAAGTCAGAAGAGCAAAACTCTGGGGCTGAGTGCTGGCACGAAGATGGAACCGCTGCACCTGCGATTCAGTTTGGCCTGGCAAATCCTGAAAGGCAGGTGGTTTTGAAAGCTAATACAAAAGCCCCTCCATTCTTTTCAGAATGGCTTGAAAGACCCTAAACAGGCAGCAAACGAAACAATCTTGGCCAAACAACAACGTCTATATGCAAACAACTTGGAAAACAATCATGGAGCTGCCACCCCTTTCCAAACAAAATCACGCACCAGCAAAACGCTCGAAGCCAGACCGTGTTTTCACAGTCTGCCAAGCATCCCTTGCTCCACCAAACTTCCCCCACGTGACTTGCCCTGCCGGGCCCGGTGCGCCTTCTGCGCACTTCTTGACAAAGAAAGCTTGCTTTTGCAACAAAACTTCCACAGTAGCGCCCCCGGAACTAATCGTGCACGAGTGCTTGCCTTGGTTGGACCTGTCAAAGTCCGGAAAGGCTTCCCGTGGCAAGAACGAAATGTCATAATCTTTGTACATCGAGTTTGCCTTCACCTTGCCCTTCCCGCCGCCCTCTGAACCCTTCTTTGAAGTGGACTTTGGAAAGGGCTTGTTGATGGTGGATTTGACACCCGTACTATTCCCGGTCCTTTTGAAAGAAGCCTTCGGGTTGCACGGCTTCTGCTGATTCTTCTTCTTCTTCGCCTTGTCCCCGCCCAAGCCCGCTTCCTCAGACGAAACGACAAATCTACCAAGACAGGGTCAGAGAGGCAAAAAAGGGCCAGAAGAATGAACCTCACACGCCCTCGTTCTGAGTCTTAAGGCCTCTTGACGTCTCTTGGTAACCATGACTGACGCTTTTGTGGAAGAAGGGGTCACGCGAGGTAAGGAAAGAGTGCTTGCTACAGGCGGAGTTGCTCGACTTGGCCCACGGACCAAAGCAGGAAAACCCCGGAAGCCTGGCCGATCACTGTCTGGTGTCTTCATGGACGTTTCGGCGACAGAGCACGCGGTGGCGTGAGCCCTCATGGATTTGGCTTCAAATTGCTTGGCCAGGAAATCCTTGTCGACCACTGCTGTAGTGCCTGAATGCAAAACAACTCCCAAATCTACTGATTCAGTCCGGTGTTCAAACACCCTTGACCCTTGCAAGCCCGAAACGGACTCCCCCAATAAACACGAAACAGAAAGGTCAATCACCAACACAAAACCAAGTGGCTCATGCCATTGGAAGAGCTGTCGCCATCCTCTGCAGAATCGGTCTCATTGCGTGGACTCAAGTCTTCTTTGGAGCGATCCAGCTTCCGCTGAAGGACGGTCTCTGGTCGCTTGGCCTCGCCATCTGAGAAGTAGGAATACTCAGACTTCTTGCTCGGACTGGCCTCAACCCAGCTCGGCACAGCAGTGCCAGCCATGGATGTGTCAGAATCGTACGAGTCCTCACTCTCATCCTCACCATTGCCCATATCATGGTCTGAACCCCCAGGAGCGACAGCGCCATCAGCGTCGTCGCTTGCAACAGAGGGGTATGCAGGCAAAGCATCTGCAGGCTCGGACTCTCCATCGCTTGACTCATCCTGGCGTGTAGGAGGCGGCGGAGGCCGAAAGATAGAAGCACCTGACTCAGACTCATCTGAATCTGAAGTCGGACTGCACTCACGCGCAGTTGGTGGCTGAACCTCTGTTGACGTAGCTCCATCGGAACGCGCAACCCCAGGCTTGGGCACCCGGAACCTGTCCCAGTATTGCTTGTTCTTCTTCAAGGTCTCATCATCTGGAGCAGTCCATGGCACCTCATCCTGGTCCTAGACAGGCCACATCCATGCGCTGCGCGCTCCAACAAAAACACGTTTGAACAAGGCCCAAATAGCAAGCAAATCAAAAGACTTTTCTACCCATGTCCTTCTTGGGCTCCACATTTCCCTTGCTTGGGCTTCGACGAAGCAGAGATTTCAGCTCAGCGACTCGCTCATCGTGCGACTCCATACCTTCTTGCTGTGATCAAAACATTAATCAAAATTATTCAAATTTAGCAAGGACATCCTGGAGAAAAGAACACAACTGCCCACGGGAAACCGTTGATTGAATTTGATCGAGCCACTGTTTCGATAAAGATGGCGCAAGCTCCCCATAAGTTTCTTGAGGCGCTTGCCTTCTTCGCACGCCATTGTGGTTTTCGAATCACCATCGGCCGGCATGAGGAATGCCCCCTTCAACTCATTGTCCAATCTCAGCAAGCAATCACCAATGAAGAATGCGCTTGGAACCTGACGACATTGGACGCGCATATCGAATGAATGAAGAACTTGAGCAAAAACAAGCAACCTGGGTAGAAAAAACAATAGCCATCCCATGCAAGGAGCAGTGTCAGGATATGCCACACATAGCGGGCGCAACCAACAAAAGTTCTTCGAGATGTCCTGTTGTGGTCGGAGATCCATTCTGCTCAGAAAGGGGTCCAAGAGAAACCATTTTAAACAAATCAAATATTATCTCAATACTGCCGCAGCCATGTCCTTGAAAGTCGGTGTGCAAAGGTCGCTGCTCAGGGGAACGATCCTGGCACCCGCTGGAACCTTCTTATCGTTGATGATGTCCAAGGCCTTGCTCGGCATAGCCGCAAGCCACTGCTGCGCAACATCTGCCTAGTTCAACAGTTCAACAACCGAGCGCCTGCGCACAGCCAACCCAAACAAAATAACATAGGAAAACATTGACCTCTTTGGCGCAAGCTGCAACTTGGGGCTCCGTCCAAGCCACCTTTCCAGGCCCTCGGGTCGGGCAAAAGGAGCCGACGCAATTAAGACCTTGTGAAACCCCAAAACCAAAAATTCAAATCTAACAACACCCAAAAATTCTCAAATACAATCGTGGGAACGCACTGACTTCCATCCATTGGAAGAGCTAGCTCGGGGCACGGTCGCTATTCCAGGCAAAGGATTGGCGCTGCAGGCTATACAGCAAACATTGCCGCGTAAGGTCGGCGAGTGACACACGCGGAAAAAAAAACATGTGTGACGGGCACATCCAAACATGTGCGCCAACAAGTGTATGTATATACTATATATCCTTCTATATACACTCAACCTGTCATATAAACTCGATTTTTGTATACTGACGTTTCGCCCACTCAAACACTTGTGGTTTCTTCGCACCACAGCGGTGCCGCATCTGCAGGATTTCGACGCAGATGCCCCATGAGATGGAGGGCCGCAGTTGAAGTGGAGTTCGGAGGGTGGCCGGAAACAACACACAAACAATTCACCAGTGAATCTTTCAACCCCACTAGTGCAAATTCTCAAGAAAAACAGACGAACACAAGCCCCAGAGCTTCAGTGAATTGCGTTTCACACAGCATTCAACCCCGAGACCTTGAAAAAAAGAGGGCATGCCCAAGCTCTACTGCGCAGCATGCGTGTGTGTGTGATTATTTTTCGTTGGTGAGCATGGAAGCCGGTGCCTTCAAGTATTTTTTTTAAAGGGTCGACGCACTGGAAGCTTCAAAATATATATTATAGGATTGCCATGCTGGAAGTTTCAAATTCAAAACCTATAGGATTGGGTCAAGCTTCCCAACTCCTTTGCACGTGTTGGAGAACGCTGCTTTGCGCGCATGGTGGAAACAAAGCAGCGCTGTGCCCAAACGAGCCCATGGATACATCTTGCAGGTGGGAGGGCGGGGAAACTGAAAAAGTGGTAGCCGAGCCTAGTTTCCACAAAGTACAGCTGCAGCTGTGGTTTGGACCAAAGTTGCCCCATGCGCAACTGCGGATCCTAAGGGTGTCCTTTGATGACATCTTATCGCCGTACAAAATATAAGTGCATCTGTCGGCTCGAGTTGGCACAAGTCCATAGCTAAGAAGTGCTTTATCGACAACCTGCCACCATCTGCGTGGTGCATCGTTCAGACCGTATGCGGACTTCTTCATCTTTGCTCCTATATGTGGTGGATAGCCGCATTCAGACGGGATCTGACAAATGATGTCACTAGTTTCATCATATGCTTCGCCTTGCAGGAAGGCGGTCTTCAGGTCCATATGATACAGATCCCATTGGCAATTAGCTGCAAACTGTGTTGCACATCGAAAACCTGAACGACTGGCTGCAGGACTGTCGGTTTGTTGGGTGTCCTTCTGTCTGTCTTGGAAACCCTTTAGCGCCCAGCGTGCCTTACACTTAAGGAAGTTACCGTCCTTGTCCTTCTTGATGGTAAGAACCCAGCGACCAGCAACATAATTCCTGATCTTGAGCTTACGCATGTCAACAAGCTCGAAGACGTCATTGTCGAACCAGGATTAATTTGCATTCGGCCTGCTTGGCTTCCAGGAATTGCTTGGCAAACTGGCGTTTTTCTTGCTGAGTTGCTTCCTTACGTTTCTTACCGACAAGATAGGAAAACTTATCTTCCTGTGATTGATACAAGGTCAGGAAGGCCTTGTCTTCCTCCGTAATACCGGAGTAGACTTCTTTGATGTCGGCATAGTTCTTACGAAGTAGCTGACGTTTCTTCTGTGCCATGTATGAAGACGGTGTAACAAAGTCAGCATAGGACGGAACGGTCTTGAGATCTACAGGTGAACCATCAATGTACCGAGGTACTGTGAACAAACCAGTATTGCTGCAAAGCTTCTGTTCGGCTGACAGCCAGCTCCAGCTGTTTTCGTCCACGTACAGATCGTTATAGTCAATGGTTTCATCTGAGTCAACGTCATCTTCTTCTTCTTCCTCTTCTTTGACGTCAACTGCTACGTCGTCCGGAATATCGGAGTCGACGATGACAGCTTCCGGAGATTCGGGTGACACTGGCTGTCCATCATCGTCGTCTGCGATTTCCGGAAATTCAGGTGACACTGGCTGTCCATCATCGTCGTCTGCGATCGGCAAACTAGGTCCTGATGGCTGAGCATCTGGATCACCGGCGTCCTCTTCTTCCGGAAATTCAGGTATATCATCTTCCGGCTTGCGTTTCTTCGGTGTTCGGACGACCGGCGGCGAAAAGACGAGTCGATCATCACCCCCCAGATGGTTGCTCGGTGGAACCGAAGGAGGTGAAGGCGAGACAGGCATCTGTACAGGTCTGGTAGGACGAGCTTTCGTCGAAGGGCGGTCAGACACAGGAGAAGGAGTTGGTCGTTTCTCACCTGAAATCATCTGCTCATCTGGAAGAGACGGTGGAACGACGAGTGTAGGTACGACAGGAGTGTCTGGTTGCACAGGAGTCAATGGTAAAAATGAATTGGGAATAGGTGGAACTGTGGCTGCAGGAGGAAAAGGTGGAAACTGTGATGGTGGCTGTGGTCCTGAAGGTGGTGTATCCGGAAGTTCTCCAGGCATGTTGGTGTCAGGTTGTGACGGTGGGGGTTGGCCTGGAAACGGTGGAAACGGATTGTCTGGCGGCGATTGTGCTGGAGAAGGTGTAAATGGTGGATCTGGACTGTCTCCAGGTGTAAAGAAATCACCAGGTGTGAACGGATCACCGGGGATGTCGCCAGGCATGTCAGGACCAGTTGGTGTCATGTACTCATCGGGATCCAAACCAGGAGGTGGTGCAGGTGGTGCACCAACAGTGTCAGGTGTGACAGGTGTGTGAAGCGGTTTGGATTGGACACGACCATCAGAGTTCCAGAAAAAGACACAGCTCCAATTGGACTCCACCAACTTCGACAAGTCGTCAAAAGGATGTGATTGGATGTACAACTTAGTTGTATCCTTCTTACGCCATAAAAACAGTACACCTGCGGTTTGACGGTACCTGACCTTCAGCGGTTCAAAAGTACCGCGCAGAACTGTGGCGTGCTCAAATGCCATGGTAGGTGCAAAAATCTGGCGCATGTGAAACATCATGTGCGATACGCAATGACTCAGACCAAGGATTATACTCATGTCCCTTAGGGAGTGAGTTAACTCTGTGCATAAGACGTCGAACATAAAAATCCTTCACTGTTACACTATCAGATTCGCTGAAGTGAACATATTCTCGATCCGTGTTTTTCGTCAGGAAGAGCTGGAGTGATTCGAGACCGGGAATATCGAGTTCTCCAAGCAGATCTACAACTACGGTAGTCCCAAGAGAGGTTAAAAGACCATATAGATAGCCCTTGCGGCTGTTCGCCATATAGGCTAACTTGGTTACTCGTCCATGGGGACAAGAGAGCTCCGCCACCAGTAGCGCGTTGGAAAAACCGCTGGCTCCAACATCTCTCGCGCGAAAAAAACATTTGTCGGCTGGCAAGCAGGCGCCGGACTACTCCGAAGTGGTTCGAAAAGCCCTTTGCAGCGCTACCTTTCAGCGCGAGCAGAAGTCCACACAAAAAGGTCGAGAACTACTTTATGCAACTTGTTTGCGCGTTGCCTTCAAGCGCTGTATATTTGGCGCGGCCGCTTTTGCAAAAGCCATGTCGTCATTTTGCCTGTCCGCGCCGCTAGGACATCCGGCCCGGTTGTTGAGAGGCAAGGGCGCTTGTGAACGCAGACTGCGCCACAAGCAGGCGAAGGTTCATCGATCATCCTTCCAACGTCTTACGTAGATAGACCGCGGGTCATCACATGATTCCGCGGATTGCTATCACTGGGCCTCAGCCCAAAAACTTATAAGCGCAACTTCTGACAGAAGTAAAGTCTTGTTAGATTTCCTGAACCGCGGTTGGCCGAATGAATTTCACATTCCCCTAACCACGCGCCTATATGAATTTCGGGTTTCACAACTGTGAACTACATGCTTCCCAACCACCTGCCCGGGACCTGAGCCGTTGTCATTTCCGGACCACCTGTCCAGATATGTTTCCCGACCTGTTGCTTATATGAGTTTCAAAGTTCAAGAACCCCGGTCCCTTTCTGATTTTTTTGACCACCTGCACCAATCTTCATGCTTCTGGGCCGCCTGCCCCGTTATGAAGTACGCTTCATGCTTCTCGGCAACTTGCTCGCCATAAACTTCATGCTTCGCAAACGCCTGTCCCGACCACCTGTCATGCCCTCATGATCCTCACGTTACTTAGTCGACTTTCAACGAAGGTCATGATCCCACCCCAACCGGCTAGTTTTTCATATTGAATTGCCCGACCACCTTGCCACTAAGAATTTTCATATTTTCCGACCACTTGGCCCGTTATATGAAAGTCTTCATTCACCTGCCCCGATGTGACAACTTCATGTTTCGCCATATCCGGCGACAAGTCACGTTGTGAATTTAATGCCTTCCAAGCAATCTGCTTCATTGTGCATACCACCTCCTGTGCTTGGTTAACCACCTATACCTTCATGCTCCCAGCCCGGCTATGAATTTCACGCTTCCCATATTATTGGCCCGTGGCAAGTTTTGTGATTCCCGACGTTGAACGACTTGATCTATGATTTGCTCATGTTTCTGAAGCCCCGGCGCCGTCATGAGCTTCACACCGAACATTCTGCCACATTAGGGAAACCGCCTGGAACGCCATGATCTTCAAGTTTCCCAAGCATCTCTGGCCTCTAGGTGTCCGGACCACCTGATCACCTGTCCCGTTATCTGTTGCATGTTTCCTGACCACCTGCCCCGTTATTCGCGCTTCCTGACCATGCGCCTGTATCGTTATGAGCGTCATGCTTCCGGACCACCTGCCGTCACCTGCCCGGC